GCTTGTTTGTCATGTGATTTGCACGATTTGGAGTGATAAAAAGTTCACTACACGCTCTACACCGGGAAAAGTGACTCTGCGGACGCGACAAGACCGTGTGTTGTGCCTCACTCCACGCTCCGCGCTGTGGGAAAGCTCGCAATTTGGCCACCCACTGTATTTGACATTGGAGTCAACTTAGGATCATTGTTGCACAAAAACGGACACTCACGCTGCACGCTTGCTTGTTTGTCATATTGCCCTCAGAAACCACGGAAGTTTCCCTTGCAGAGCCTTCTCAACTCATCAGGTTGCAAGGTTGCAGTTTGCAAGCGCGTGAACGTTGTGTCTCTTTCAGTCTTGGCTTGGACTTTGGTGTGCACGACAAAGTTTGTGTCCGACGGAGGACCTTTGCTTCTTCTTCGAGTAGTTGCTGGACAACGGTTCTCTTCTACCTTGTTTGTCGCTGAGCAGTTTGTTGCCTTCCTTGCACAGTTTGGAGGGTTCGCTCGCTGAGAGGCTTGCACAGTCCGGTGCCGAACATCTACAAGCATCGGCTTTGTGAAAAAATTGCAGAGGACGACCAACCCGGAACTGCATTCGAACTACCCCGCCAGGCCACACTACGGCCCAAAAGATTTTGCATGGATTTTGCACGCACTTTCGGGCGTTCTGAAGGCCAGCTCTAAGCCTCCACGTTTCGGAACGAGTTCCGGCCGGATCCGGGGAGAAGGACTTGCAGCCAGAGACTACACCGTAACAGAACGCAGTTTTGAAATATGGATGCAAGAGAGAGCACCGGCGTCATTTCTAGCGGGACAATGAGGTCGTTCGACAGAAATGGAACTTCTCAAAATCAGAGAACTTACACATAAAAATCATTGGAAACAACTATGAAAATCAACATAAGATAACAGCTGAAGCGATTGTGGCTTTCCTCGAAACAGAACCCAGGTTTCAAGTCCAGGTTTGAACTTGGGTTCCGAACCCTGGAACCTGGGTTTGAACCTGCATCCTGTAGTTCTACGCTGGGTTCGAACCCGGCTCCAGGTTCAAACCCAGAGTCCGCAATGTCAGTGAAAATCTGCTGGTTGCTTCGACTCCAAAGCCGCAAACAAGCTAGGTTTTGAAGGATTCCTCCAGGTGAGAGCAGAGGACTTTGAGAGCATGGATCTTGCAGATTTTGACCGCCGTGTGCATTCCGGAGTCTTCTTGACGGCATTTGCCACGTTCCTGACAAGGAATACAGAGTGCGGAAGTCCTGTTACCGACTTGCAACTGTCGAACTTCAGCAAGCTAACAGCCAAGTGTCTACATTACACGAAAAAAGCGAACTGAAGCAGGAGATTGCAGTGAAAACAGATGGAACATGAGGAGATTTTTTGCAGTTTGCTGACTTCTTGCAGTCTTTGTTTCGTTTCAAGCAGTGCGACTTGTGCTAGTGCCAGAAAAATTCGAACACTTGTGGCGCTGAAGATGATTTGTGCTTGTCTTATGTCTGTTTCTGTGTGTACTCGCTGTGAAATGCCAAGACGATCGTGGTGAAGCCACTTGGTTGAGCGGCGGTTCTGAGACAGCTTCGCGATTAGCTGTTTGTCTTTAGCACATGACTTGTTACTAAGTGAGCACGAGGCCGTAGTTGATGCTCACTTGCAAGGCATAGATTGAAAAACTTCGATTGGCTGGTTTCTATTGCTGGCAGGCCCGGGTGGGATTGGGGCCATGGTGGTTGATTTTGACGTGGAAGGTAGTGGCCTCAAGCGGTGTTGATTGGCTGCTGTCCTTTTTGCGGAAGCCCTGCCGCCGTTGCCGTCAATGCAGACTTACAAGGCAACAGCTTACAGTGGTGCGTGTTTGCGTGGTTCGTATTTGCACTTCTTGCGCGTGCTTCCTTGGCAGGTGGGTGTGAGCGTGGTCCTGGCGCCGCTGCCGATGCAGACCTGCATGGAAGGCAGTTGCTTGACCCGGGTTGCTCTTCCTTCTTCTTGTCGTGCGCAAAATGATAGCTACGAGGCCGAATGAGCCAGCGGCGTTGTGGGCTGTAAAGGGCAGAAGGCGACGCACACCCTAATTTTCAATCAAGAGCTCTCCGTGATCGCAGCTCATGTGTGCAAGAAAAAAGCGTGTTCAGGGGCCTCTTTTGGTGCCGAAAAGCCTTATGGAATCGGTGCCCAGGTATTGGGGGCCCCCCCGGAATCATTAGAACACTTGTCTTGAGACGGCTTTGGAAGCAGCTCAAGTCTGGGCACCAAAACGGCTCCAGGTTGTGGCTTCTTGTTGAAAATACAAGCTCAGGCAATAAAAAGAGCTCAGATTTGGAGCCATGTCTGGGGTCCAACTAGGCCGTTTTTTCGTCGAGTAGAAGCCACATGCTTGCCGTTGCGTGCAACAGTTTATCAAGTCTTCTGACGCGCCGATTGTTCGTAGGTCGCAGGCTCCTTCTCAAGTTGAGTGAGACTGCATCCCGCCTTCTTCGATGCTTCAGACCGTGACTAAGGAGAACCGACTGTGCATCATGCGGATGCTTGTCGTCTTGAAATCACTTGCGCGATAAAGCGCAAGCTGTATCTTGAAGGACGTCGCTGCTTGAACTTGTTGGAAGCTACAGACCGTCGGATGCCCCATGTTTGAAAACACTGTGCGCTCTCCTGGAATGCGACAATTCTGGATTGAATTATATTCCAATATGTTTGTTTGAAAATATTCGCTGTTTTTTTCATATGTTTGCAAGTAGAGAAAACTTGCATGAGATAAGGAAACACTTTCATCGAAGATGAAATGTGACTTTATCTCAAAATATTTTCATGGCAATTTCTAATTTCCACTACTTGCTTGCATGTGCGAATTCTTTTAACATGCAGCATTTGGTCTTGCTGGATTCGAAAACAAAGCTTTTTTTTCCCACCCGCCCAACCCTGGGGGGAACCGACTGTGCATCATGCGGATGCTTGCCGGAAACCACTTGCGGGATAAAGTGCAGGCTGTATTATCTTCCCTTATGTTTGTTTCTCAATATTCGATGGTTTTTCATATTTGCAAGTAGAGAAAACATTCATGAGATAAAAACTCCAAAACTTTGGTGCAACGGCAAAAAAGAGTGCGCCTGTACCGTTCTGTGTGCTTAATTCACACCTTCCAGGTAACGGATGAGTCCGCCTCAGCTCCCAGGGCCCAGCCATGTCAAGGTTGAATTGAATGTGTGCGGACTGTACAGAAGTTGGAAGGATTAAAAAGGAGGCAAAGCCGCGGCATAGAGCTACAAATAGCTTGCGGTGGTGGTTGCATGGTTTAAACCTAAACTCATACGCTCGGGGATGGCCTGTCACGGCTCAAGTCTTGTTGTTTTGTGGGAACAGCATTTTTGCGACCGTTTGATCCCGTGCGTGTTATTCACGACCTGTGGTTTCGTCCAACTCGAACCGAGAAAATCGTAAACATTAAACTATAAAGTTCGCTCATTCCAGTAGCTTCGAATGTGATTCATGTGGTTGGAACACGGCTAAATGAATTGAAAAGTCAGAAATTCGCACGGGGTCCGTGCTCACGCCAGCAAACTGAGCCGAGCTTTGACTTTGAAGTGCAGCCGAGAAGCTTTGCAGTGCCACTTACCGCACGTCCGTGCTTTGTCCAAGCATTTTTAGTCAGCTTTGTTTCCGACGAGTTGAACCTCATCATAACGGTCCATCCTGTCTGTTGCGGCTCGTACTGTCCCCGTGCTGCAACACTTCCAACCGCAAACCGCTTTCTGGCTGAAAAGGGATTAGTGCAGAAGTTGTGGCCTAAATTCTTGGGCTGCAGCTCCTGCGGCGGACTTGGCTTTTCATGAGCACGCTGTTGATGCAGTGCAATACTGCTCGTCCCAGACCGTCTGCTTCGCTCAGGTGTTTGGGTTCACGGGCCCCAGCTGTCCGAAGCCAAGCCGGGTAAGACATGACGAACTTGTTCTCGGCAACCGGTGCACTGAGCCCTCATCGGGAATACACATTCAGGCAGAGAGAGAGAGAGAGAGAGAGTGAGAACGACAGAGAGAGAGAGGGAACGAAAGAGAGCAAGCGAGCGAGACAGCAAAGCAAACAGCACTTTTCGCATTCGATTGGTTGGGCCTTCGCGGATTTGCAAAGAGTAGTGCCGAGGATGGGACCACCGAATGGCGAAAGGATCAAAGAATCAAAGGCTGCTGGCTTCGGTTCGAAAGCGTTTTTTTTGGTGACCTGATGCTGTGGTGAGTCCGGAGAAATTAAAACACGAGTGTCTTGCAGTGAGTAGAGATTGTGCAAGTGCTTGTCATGACAGGCAGTGAAACCCACCATGCAGTTGCAGATCCCGCCCCCGGCTTCACGGGACTGCCCTGCGCACATGTCCACAATTGCTGATGTGCAGAACTTCCGTAGCTGAAACCCATCTTAAGCAGGACTCTGGTCGCTCAACAGAACCCTCAGTGGAGGGTCGCAGCAGGAGCCTCAGAGCAGTCTTGGCATTGGCGAAGCCTTGAAAGGCCCAGGCACATCCTGGCTTTCTGAGGCCCCAAGCTGTCGGTGCGAACCGGAGAGTCTGGTGATCCCCTGAGAATAACTAGTCCGCGGCACAACAAAAGCCCGAAAGAGAAAGAGCAGAAGAACAAAGCTAGCGCCGCCCTGAGCACTTGAGTTGTGGCATGAGCCGTGTGCATCCAATGGAGATCAGTGCTTGTTGCCGCTGTGCGTGATGAGGAAGAAGTATACCCTTGTATGCTTTGGTGTCAAGAAAAATTGCCGCACCCGACGGGTTTACCAGCTAGCCTTGTGTTCGTATGTGCACCGCTTCAAGCATGTCTTGGCCAGGTTGACAACAGGTTTTTCATGATTTTCACCACACTTCTCACTTTCTATGCGTTGACGGCAGACGACTTGAGGCAGCCGTCGTGAAATCCTGTATTGGCCGTCGGATGTAGCCGCCAATGGACAGGATAATCCTCACGGAGAAGCCGGCAGACATAGTATTCAACATCATGGGTTTAATTTGCAACCTGGCAGCATGACAGGGCAGCCTGAACCTTAATTGCCAGCTGCCATTCACAGGCACTAGCTGCCATCACCATCTGCTCTTGTATTGCTTTTGTCAGCATCCGCCCTTGCAAGGTATAGTGGTTTTTATGCTGGAGGCCAGAATGACATCATGAAGCTGAGCAAGTGCAGCATATTGCTTTCGGTTGCTTACAGATTATCGCCTGCAACTTTCTGTCAGGTGGTTCTCTCTTGCCTGGGGAAGGTCGGGCTGTTCATGTCCAGTTTCAAGCGAGGAAGCGAGTAAAATACCCCAAGTTGCAACTCGAACTCGATTGTTCAGTTCATAGTTTGGTACGTGCGAGGACTCGGCCTTGGCCGCAGCCCTCATCTCACATGAGCCGGAATGCATCTCCGGTGCCAGGCTGACTACTACCTGGGTTTTTTCTTCTGGCTAGATGTGATCAGCACGGCGACACTACTGCAGCGGGGCTGAGCTCTTTGCATTTCAGCCGCATGCTCGAGCTGGGCTTGGCGCATCTTGGCGCTGAGGCTTGACCTAACATGGGTCAGTGAGGCTATCCAGGCCAAGTGTCGCACGACCGAAAGCCGTCTTGATCGTGAAACTATGAAACTGGCAGGGTGGTGGCGAGGGTGGTGATGCCTCGGACCTGCGGTCCGGCAGGACCCTGGCGCCAGCCTAGCAGCTCCCGGTCTGTGCGCGGAACCAGGGACCGTGCTTGTCGTTCCCTTGCTCTTGAAGTTAGGACAGCAAGGGTTGGCGCCCGCGCTGGGCGTGTGGTGGGCAACCTAGATTGTGTGCAAATCACTGGACGCGACTCCAAGTCTCCAAGTGACTTCGGTTAGCTTCCAAGAGATGCACACGCAAGGTTAGAGTCCTTCGACTGGTAGATTGCTCAGTCCTTCTGTGCTGCGTGATTTGAGTTATCCAAGACACCATAACTTTTTGCATTTGAGGTGAGACTTCTGAAGCTTTACAAAGCATACTATGAGGCAACGCATCTTGGATTCAGGGCATGCTGGTCTGAGAATGCTGCAGCTGTTCCGTCTGTTCTTGTGCACAGGCCAAACAGAGAAGGTTGGAACGAGAAAGAAGAAAGCAATCAGGTGAAGACCTGCAGGCAGAACACAGCTTCGTTGTACATCAGTGTACAAGTCCTTGTCTCTCAACTTCGATCAGCTGGTGCTATAGGATGACTGGGATGAAGCAGACTACGAAGCAGTCGAAAAAGCGGAAGGGAAGGCCAACGAGAGCTCCGATCTCAGCTGAAACCGACGACATCTCAGTGTGGAGACGCTTGACTGTGCTTTCTCTTGATGTCTCATCCCATGCGATCAATGGTGGAGGCCGGGTAGGGAAAAAGCTTTCCGAGATGACAACGAGACGTGTCATCTGTTCAGGCCTCAGCGTGCTCAGTGTTCCTGTAATACTACGGGGGGTCAATCTGGACTGCAATCTGGTACCCAAGTGCTTCGGCAGCTAGGTCTCATTCTCGCGATGCTTCTGATCCTGCCGCTACTCTCCAAGGAGTCTGTAGCTCTGGCTATGTTGCGCCTGTATCCCATGACAGCATGACAGATAGCACGCCGTGGCTTGAAACAGCGACGCCAGCATGCCAGGCAGATCAGACACCGTACTCGGTCAGCTACGGTGCCAACGAAGTTTGGCAGGTCCTTTGGTCGGGCACATCTGCGTACCTCTTAAGTCTTAGGCAAGCAAAGTCGCCACACCAAGCATCGCTACTCGCAGGCTTTTATGGCCAAGATGGGGAACACCTCATCTGCTGCACAGCTTGCCACGAAGTCGTGACCCGGTAGCAAGGCAAAAAGCTCGTGAAGCTTCGTACACAGGAGCACTTGTTATGGTCCAGGTACGATGAGGTCGTCTACTCAGAACTTGATTTTGGTGGGGCGCGAGAGTGCCCGCAGTTGGCGGCACGAGGGCAAATTCGTGTTTCGGATGCACAGCGAAACTCAGGCGCTTCTGGAATACGTCTATTATCACAATTGGTACGTCGCGAACCACCAAGCCTGCTACTCGGGAATGTTGCTGTTGTTGGAGCAGAGGACAGGATCATGGACTTGGGTGGTTAGCACCACTTGGGCAAAGCTTGCTGACTGCAGGGGATTTATTGCCCGACTGCGAATTGTGCAGGAAGATTTCTAGGCTGGACACATGAACACGACTTGTCTGCATCCGTAACCTGCGATATAAAGTGCAAGCGAAGATGCAGCATGGACCTCGCTGAGATGAGTTGGCCGGAGTGATTAATGCCTGGACTTCGTTTACATCGGTATTTAGAGTCAATCTTGACAGGCTCATTGTTCTGGATTGGCCTGGCAGGAGCCGAGCTTGCGGGGCATTGAGTGGGCGTTTGCGTTTGAGCTCACAAGCAATTCTACGCATACGATGCATGGTCTCATGCATTGCATGACAAGTCTAATTAATCAATCCTTGTTCAATCGCTGCCACACACAATGCTCGTGCAGGGCCTCGGGGCGAGGTGGACTTGAGTTCCGTCTTGCAGGACGTTTTGCATATTGTGGGGCAGACGCCAGCGCGGGCTTAGCATGCTGTAGGGGTTGATTGGTGATGCCACACGAGCGAGCCTCGCTGCCGCAGTACACGCAGCTGAATTCCACGGTCGTGGCCGGCTTTGAGAGCAGCAGAATCCTCGCGTACAATACCCAGGCCTGTTTCTGCTGGTAGCAGCATTGGGCAGCACACACATGCTTTAACGACGCAGCGGATTATACTGCAGTTCATGTCAACCGTTGCAGGACCTGTGGATGTCCTTGGGAACCCTGCCACCCGAGGTTAAGGCTGGGTCACACGGCATCGTTCATTCTCAGAAGCCTGCTTAGTAGCAGACAAGAATGGATGAGCCACCTGGGCATAGAGGCAAGAAGACATGTAAACGTTGCACAAGGCACAAGTCGTGCAAGTCCGATATGTGCAAACAACAGCGTGCACAACCCAAGCGCAGTAACGTATCCTGACAGCAAGAGAAACACAATCAAGTTTCGACCACTATATGTTTGTTGCAGAAGTCCCAATGACCAGTGACACGTCGTGTTATGAATGATGAGCTGAGTGTATATACATAAGTCTCACATGCAGGCATACCTTTGCTGATTAGCAACATGAACCAATTGCTCGCAGATTCTAGGCGGTATGGTGGCATACGGTGGTGCAGAGTACCCCTGTGTTCAAGGCAACTTTGTCAGAACCATGGGCAGAGTCGTGTGCGACGTCAACGATTGCAAATGCCTCGGAGTGGAGGGTCGCGACTGTCTAGGAAGTGATGCCAAGTTACTGCAGACCAAAATGCGTCCTCAGGACTTGTTCGGTCTGTCGCTGCTGAAGAGCCCCGTCAGTGGCTTGAACATCCACCAGGTTCGTGGGACCTGTTCTGGTGGGTCGATTCTGAGAAAAGCCATCCAAGCCAAAACGCTTAGAATCAGAGCTTTACGTTCCGAAAGGTGGCGTGCCCGTTAGATCTCCGCGCAACGGAGATTCAGGCATTGCCAGTGGCAGTCAGCGATTTCGTTTGCAAGCTTCAGATGGCAGAGTCCGAGTTTGCGCTATCATCCTCGTGGGCGCTTCCACATGAGCATGTCAGGCGCATTTCACGCAATTTATAGTTCCTCGTGGGGAACTTAGAGTTGGTTATTGATGCGGTGCTGCAGTCAAGTGTCAATTTCCTGAGGCCAGCAGTCATACTACCTCACGTTTTACTATGACATGCGGCCTTTCAATCGTCAGACCTCAGCGTGGCCAACTCAGAAGCATTGGCTGTGTTTTGACAGGGACGGAAAGGTCCATGATCTTGCTGCTTGCCACACCTGTGCGAAGGTTCAGCTTGGGCGTGACGTTTTTCGTCATGGTCCTTCTAGTGACCGCATCGCTGATGTTTACGAGCGATGCTAATCGACTGGTGCTGCGCCCTGCCGGGGCCCGAGTAAAAGGATCGCTTCAGCCAGCAACCAGGCTCATTCGAGTCCGTTAACAGACAGCTTTTGATCTTTTAGGTTGAAAAGATGATTGAGCGGATCGAGGCGAAGATGCGATGTCTGTCAAGCATCTTCGCAAACTCGATTCCGTGTCTTGCTGCACAAGGCCATTCGAGATAAGCCTTTGCTGGCCATGAAGATGGCACGGGCCTCAACGAGTTCTGGCAATAGCATCGAAATCAGAGGGTGATCTTCTGTGCAGCTCGATGCCTCCAGGCCGATGACGAGTTCAAGGCTGAAGAAATCAAGAAGGTGCCTCTTCCCGCAGTTTGATGAGATAACTTTCATGGGCTTTTCAGGCAGTAGTGGTCAAGAGAGCAAGGCGACAGAACAGGATCAGGGGAAGATTGCCAAAAGTTAGTTCTGTCTGTGTAACCAAACGGATTTCTTGCAGACGTCAAATTGCATTCACGCCAGTGGTGTATCGCCGGGCCGTCGCATGATGTGAAGCGTAGCTGCTTGACCATGCCAGGAAAGTATGATGAGGAACAAGCAGAAGCCACTGAGAAGAATCGCTATGGACTCGCCGGCATGTCCAAGAGTCCAAGTATGCCAAGACATGTGGCCACTGTTTGAAGCTGTTAGAGGCAGTAGATCCACACAGCTTGCAGTGGCATAGGGCGAGCGTGAGCCCAATGTCCTGGCTGCGAGGAAACCTCCAGACTATGTGCCTCTCGGCCAGAGGTCATGGAGACGGTGATTCTGGAGAAGACTATCATCAAGCTTCTTGCTTGCAGCATTGCATGTGAAGCTGCACAGTGCCCCTGTGGAATAGGGCACATGCCATTCCGAACAAAGGCTTGGATCTTTGCTTGCCCTGGGCTTTGGCGAAGCTGGTGCCGACATCATTGGCCGGCGCCCTTGTGTCATGGCCTGATTTAACGCATCCCAGTTGCATCGTTGAACTGAGGCAAGAACATGAGTGGCTCCGACTCGGCTGGTGTGAATGCCATGGTGCCAGGGCGCAAGTGCGAGCCGGACAGCTCAGCTTTCACATGGTGCGGCGGGATCTCGCTTGAAATCGGAGTCTCGACCTCGCCGAGGTGTATAGTCGGCATTCTTCGTGTACGCGATTTCAGCACCGCCACGGAGGTCGGAAATCTTCTCGGGCGTTCAAGTGTGGATCATTCCCTTGGAACAGGGGCTCGGGGTGTGACAGCCTTGTTGTGCCTAATGCATCAAGGCACTTGTGTTTTCATTCAAGCTTTTCTTCATGATATCTTAAGTTTTCCGATTCTCTCCCAAACTCTTTCCTTTACTTTCCTTTGATTGTTCTGACCCAACGATCTCGACTTTCTCGATTTCTTCTCAATTCACTCTTCAATCTCTTACTTTTGATTCAAGCACTCTCTCCATCTTCTGTGTCCATATTTCCCCACTTTTTCGGAAGCCACCATGCAGTCATGACGCTGCCGCTGGGATGTGCACTTCACCCTGCCCATATCTGTCGTGTGTGCAAGCTGACGATTCATGACTTGCATGAATTGCGTAGGTGGTAGCCGTAAATTCAGGGCAGATGTATGATGCCTGCGCACTCGGCAACAGGTCCTCCAGGCCAAGGTCATGATGTTCTCCAACCAAATAGCGGAAATCGTTTGCAGCCCAGTTAAATTCCGCTTGGATCGTCCCACCTATCGGGGCTGGACAGCCAACTTTTGAACCACCAAGGTCCATGGAGTTTGCAATGAATTCCACGGAGCACTTGGCTCGGTGAGACGCAGTCGGCAAAGTGGAGCTGATTCGGCCATTTAGGTTTTTGACGGTCTCTCATGGACTAAAGGGGCACTTGCATGAACACCGATTGAGGCTCCGAACAAGAATACTGGTGACTCCTTCCTGGTCATTTGGAAGGAAAGCCATGATGCAGGACACGGTACTCCTGCACGATTCCCGGTCAGGGAGATGTCGGGATTTTCAGATAATTCTGACTAGCATGGTATCTAGTTGTCTACCGAAGACAGCCGAAGCGAGTGTACACCCGCCGCATCGGATTTCCCCATGTCCGTCAGGACTGGATGGTACCGAGCTGATGCAGAAATATGCAGAAGGCTGGTTTGGCCATGGCTGTTGAGGTATGAACATCTCCTGAGCTTGTCCAGAGTCGGCTGTGCAGGTGCCATAGTTTCCTCTGCATGCGTCATTGGCGCCGTGCACCATTCGCAGAATCCTCAAAAACAGAGTCTTGGCCTAACCCTGAATCTACCCGTGATAGACATGCAGGCCTCTGCTCGGAAGCTATAGAGAACACCCTGGGCTGCAGTATCGACTGGGCCGTACTCTCAGTGCGCGAAGCTCCGCGAGAGTCCGATGTGAGGTGTAATGAAATGCGCCTAAGGCTCGAACTGCCGGGTGCACCTGAGCATCGGCCTTCACAAAGGATGGGCCATTGAAGGTGCAGTGGTGATCTCAGACACTGCTGGACGTGATGCTGGCTCATCTTCCTGATGGTCCTTCTCCTTGAGGTCGGCAGCGAGTTCAAGATCGATTGTTCATATCTATCGCCGAACGTGAGTATCGCCACGTCCATCGAGCGATCCACTGTCTGCCTGTCACGCTTAGGGCCCTGCCGTGTGTGACAGCATGCTTTCTGCTTGACCCGTGCCCAACAAAGCAGCTCGCATGCAATTGAACGCCTGGCATGTCCATGGCAAGTGCAGTCCTTGCCAAAGCAAGTCACTTCCCGGTGCAGGAAGCCTATGGCGTGTCGGTTATGGTAGCACAATCAGCAGCGCCCTCAGCACCTCCGATCCTATCTGGTGTTGCCGTCGATGCTATGGTTTGCCACGAGGTTGTTGATCTGTGTGATTATCCCATCCGGCGCCCATCTCAGCAAAAGTCGTTCGTTGATGACAGATTAAGAGATGCCTCAGTTGATCCGCGTGCTGCGGCATGTCAGTAACGGGCAGGTCCCAGTGCCGATTGATTGACAAAGTCATCGTCAGAGGCCGTCCAGTTCCGTAAATGCTGAGCCGGAACCCAAGCGCGGACTGCTCTCGGTGAGGCTCTCCAGCACCGATGGAGCTCTACTGCGTCGACCTGGATTACATGAGTCGTGCTCTTGGGAAACCGCCTTTGCACCCCCGCTTTTTGCGTAAACCTAAGTAGCCCCAGTGCAGATTCCAAGCTGCTATGCTCAGGTGTGGAAGTGGACTTGACGTCCCGACCCAAGGCAACGCAGTATTGCGATTTGGGATAGTTATAGTTATAGAGAAAGCAAACAAAAGCAGCATGTGGAAGATTAGCAGTGCTGTGGTGGCAGAAGTTGCGGCAGCTCGTCGTCGTCGTCCTCGTCGCCGCAGTCATAGTCGTAGGCGTAGTCGTAGGCGTAGGCGTATGCGTAGTCGTTGTCGTAGTCGTCGTCGAGGTGGTGGTGGTGGCGGTAGTGGCGGTAGTGGTGGTAGCAGCCGTGGTGGTGGTGGTGGTAGTTGTTGTGGCGTGGCGGTCCTCCTCCTCCACCTCCTCCTCCTCCGCGTCGTCGTCGTCGTTGTCGTCGTGGTTGTAGTAGCAGCGGAGAGGTTGCAGTAGCACTCGCAGTTGAAGTACAGGTGGAAGTAGGAGTAGAAGTGGAAACAGACGTACAAGCAGTCGTCGTCGTCGTTGTTCCGGTTGGGGGAGTGGCAGTGGTAGTGGATTTGGCCCAGTAGGCGTCGCCCATGTCCTCATGCGGTGTGGTTGTGCCAGGGGCTTGCCTGGAACACTCGACAAAGGTTCAAGGCCGAAAGTGCACTGTTCAGCTTCCGGCTTCGTGACTGAAGGCTGCGTGAGCTCCGTCCAGCGATGACTCTGTCACCATGTCTGCAGGTCCGGCAGCAGATAGAGCAGGAAAAGAAGGCAGTGCTCCACAAGGAGTGCGATCGCTCCTAGAAAGGGCGTGGTCAAGCTTCCTCTGTCCGTTTCAGACACAGCACCCAGTGCTCAAAAACATGGCCCCTGGTCCAGTCGCATCAGTCGTGCAGGATTTGGCAGAGATCTTCGTAACAGACGAGGTCAGAAGACCCGGACCCTGAGTTCCGGCCTCCGTGCTTTGTACGATGTGTGAAAATGAGGTTATCCTGCAAATGCGAGAGCGCTACACTGCCGTCTCCTCAGACACCTGTAGCTAGCAACTGTCGGTGAATCGCACAGGCCAACATTGATTTTGTGGTGCATTGGACCGTGGGTGCAGGTAGAGTTCTTCCAGCTTTTCAACATGGGCTACCAGAACTACTCCCAAGGGGAGTGGCAGGTGGCACGGCGAATGCTGTCCGACACCCAATCTTGAAAACGGACACAGATTCATGCCACAGCAACGTGGTGGGCAAAGGATGCACATCAAGAGCGACGTGGCGGCTGAAGATGGCCCCAGCACGGCCTTGCTAAAGTTCATGGAGGCCCATCTGTCAAATGGATTGACGAGACACTGTCGGTAGCGCCGTGTCCATGTGCCATCATGTGCCATGTTTTTGACCCAAGGCGCCGTATGGCTTCGAGGCCCCGAAAGGATGGCAAGGAATCCGCGAGCTGGCCAGGGCCCCAGGTCCCCAGTGCTGTTCCAGCGTGAGCCTGCGATCTGGCGAGGTTTGTTAACGACATTGGCGGGAGGGTGGTCGCCTGATGGCCTGCTCTCCGGTTTGTCCGCCTTCTTCGAAGCTTCCCAGGTGCCTGAAGAGCCTGTGGCCTGTGAGTCCCTTGCTCGGTGCTTTTCGCCAATGGAAGCGCTTTTTATCCCACCGCGCCCCAACTCGCCGAGGTTCTCGGGAGGCGAAGGCCGATCCCACGAAGCTCCCCCTAGCTAGCCCTCCTGGCTCGGGAATAGGCCGGGAATGGCTCAAACGGTTCGGACAAAGTCACAGTGTTGACATCTTGGGTCCTGTGCAACAAGAGCCATCCTTCGCCGTGTCACGTGAAACTGCCAGAAAGAAGTTCTGCGCAGTTCGGGGACCGCCTGAGGCGGGCTCGTGTAATGATTGCATTTGACGAAAGTCCACAGTGCTGCATTACAAGAAGCATTGATGTGCCAGAACGAGTCTGAATCTGCGAGAGCTGCTTGTGGACCTCCGATTGCTTTGTGTTTTATGCCCCTCTCCGAGGACATCTTAAACGAGTTGCCGAAAGACAGGATGCCACAACAGGGCTTAGAGCATGTTTCCCTTTCTCATCGGGGTTCTGACGGGTAGCTATCTCACGTGATTCAACGAAGTCCCATTAAAGCCCTTCGACGTTGGCATTCGTCTGGCATGCTGTTCGGGTCCCTGCCAACCGCTTGCAGATCTTTGGACCCAGGCATTGCACAAGGAAGTGTTCTAAGTGCGTATGGATTTCCATCGATGCTGTCGGCTGCGCAGGGGCATCTTGATATTTCCCACGGCTTAGCCGCCATCAATTATGTTGAGGTGCCATGCTGCGGTGGAATCGCCCACGCCATGGCTTAACGCGTTCCAACGCACTGGGCCTGATGCTGGTAAGAGCCAGCAGCACAGCAATGCGTTTTCTGTCGTTTGTATGCATGCCAGATTGTTCAGCCTATGAACACCTCTTTCAGATGCATTTGCTGAGGAGTTGTGTTTCACCCATGGGCACTAACCCCGTGCATTCCTAGACTCTCAGACTGGGCGACTGCGGAACCTTTGACTCCAAAGTCTTCAAAGTTTTGTTTGAGGCGCCCGCATGAGAGTTGCGACTGCACAAGCTGCAGACGGCACCTCTTTCACAAAAGGTAGCAGTTCTGTGGAAGATGGATGGAAACTTCAAGGACCTGCGCCTTGGTTGCGGTCCCCGGCGCTCCCTCAGACGAGGCAGGGCCATGCCTTCGGTAGCGGTTTGGTGTACATTATACATTCATAAAACAATGTTATACAACATCCCGCGGCAAGTTGGATGCATAGCTTTGAGAGCACAAATTCGTCTTTCCTTCCGTGCAGTCTTGGTTGGTAGGTCGCCACCGGTGGCCAGACGAATTTCATTTGTGAGGAAGCCTGGACGTGATTGAATTGTGACTGTGTCGAGCATGGCAGTCAACTAGACTTGTTGGGTTAATGCCACAATCAGCAAGTTAGACATGGAGGTTGAGAAGACAAGGCCCTCGTGCCAGGATGCTGGCAGCAACAGTGGATAATAGGTTGTCGCTCGCAAGAGTGCCACCGCACAAAAGAGGTGGAACATGGTAGCATCACTGTCGATGCACGAAAGCGCATGGTGGCACCTTGTGCGGAACCTTGCAGTGGCACTTCAGCTCCTGGTTTGGATATGACTGGGCTCAAGTTGGGGCGCCGCACACGCCCCGGGCTGCTTTGAGGCGCAGGGTCGGCATCCGTACGTCTTGTGTGTGTGTGTGTGATCGGGCACGTGGTGCACTTTTTGGAAATTGAATCGAGAGTTTTGTGCTGAACCGGAAAGTTCTTGCCTGTGCTGCTTTGATTGATGTTCGGGGCTCAGTCATCTGAGTTTGTCCGTGCATTCCCATACCCTCCTCGCCGCAACTGTCTAACAGTTCTATGTGCCCTGAGCTTCACCTTGCTTGCAAGGTGCCGTTCCAGCATCGTCAAGGCGCTTCCAAGATGGCATCTGCCCCAGACGGGCTAGACTGCCATTTCTTGCCTCCGTGGACGTCGAACTTCTGTGATGAATTGTGTCGGACAGGCAATGTTCAAAAAGAAGAAGGACGAAGACAGGCAGAGGGTCTCGGTTGCATCGTGCAATATCTGAAAGGGAGTCCGACAGCTGTGGCAGGAAGCCTATCGAGCAGGAGATCGCTGAGCTCCAGCGGAAATTCCGCGTCCTTGCCGCTCGGCTCATTGCAACACCCGTATTTGAGGGGGATCTGCAGAGCAACTGCCGACCGGAATTGTACCGTGAGGAGAACGACAAGAGAGCCTGCAGTGAAGACTCTCAAGGCTGTCGATCGAGGGAAGCTGCTTCGCAATATTCGATGCGACCTGCAGAGTGAGTTGCAGAGGCACCATTCGAAAACAGCGTGCCACCATTGAGAAGCTTACGCGTGAAAATCGCAAAATGAAGGCAGGTGCTGCAACAGTTTGACCTGGCGCAACAGGGCCGGAGCAAGAGTTCGTCTGAGGCAGAGCTCAACGAAACTCGGTCCAGCAGCGGCACTCAGGCCAGACGCTGCAATCGAGCCAGCGACGAGTAATGTCCAGCAGTTTGCAGGCAGAGGCCAAAATGCAGCAGGAGACCATCAACAGGCTGTCGGAGTCTGAGTTTGAATGATAGCTCGGGGCCACGATCGAGGTGCTGCTATGATGAACCAGCATGTTCACAGCCCTTCTTGTCACAATGCTTGTGTTTAGTGCCCGGAAGCCACCGGACGGGCCATCCAAGACACCAAGCAGAGTACAAAGGTGAGGCCGCATCTTCTGAAACTTACAAGAAACCTTGCCCCGGTTGTGACGAAACCCGCTGACGGATCGGCGCACAAGTGTCAACCCAGAGTTTGTAAAACGCACCCACCGCCACATACCTCTAGAAGCAAGCCTCTTTTTTGTCAACGGATACAGGGGAGCCGAAGGCCTTGCCCATTCCGGAGAACATCTTGTCTCGAGACTTCGGGGCCACATGCGAAAATCAACAGCTTCTATAGCGAATACGGGGAATAGATGCGCGACATTTATGTAGATAGCAGGGATAGAAGCATTTCAGTTGCAAGTGGGTTGATTACTGATTGCGACCCACACGCAAGTGGATTGTGAGTCTGCCCTGAACAGTGTGATCTGCAGAATCGGGGGCATATCGGGGCCAGGCTTCGCATCCACCAGCACACCCAAAGGACCACCAAACCGACCCGTTTGAAGTTTTCCTGGCTCGGCTCTCGGGGGCGGGGACTGAGGATGGCCGACAAAGAGCAGCTCACTGCAAAGACAGACGGTGAGGCCTGGGGCTACCTTGCGTCAGCTCTAGGGCCCTTGCTTCAAAAACCGCCCGGTTCCTCAGGAAGCTGAGGCAAAGAAGCTCCAGGACAAGTCGGGGCCGCAGCGGCTGAATCGGTGGTGCTCCGGATGCGCAAAGCCGTGCACACTTCGCTCATTGGCCAGTGTAGAGACGCTCCTGACGGAAGCTTCTTGCATAATTGACCCAGGCTCGACTCAACCCAGAGACGGATATTCGAGCTTCGAGAGGCGTGAGCTGTCAGGAATGCGCTTTTCCTCTGTGCCCGGCAGAAGAACGATGCAACTCTGCGATTCGGCAACAGGAGATGGCCAAGAGCGGTGGTGTAAACGCAGCACTCGACAACTCAAAGGCCTCCGTAATCGGCACGCGAGGATTCCACAAAGCAGTGCACGTGTTGCTCCGTGTTCGGTCATGCTCATGTCTGCAAAATGGAGACCAAGAGTGTTCCGGACATAGTATGCTGGTAGCAGCATCCTAGGCTGTACTGGGCTTTCTAGGGGGAGAACGCTGGCAGCCATTGTGACAGGCCATTGCAAAGCAAATCCGAATCCTGGAGAATAGACTGGACAAGGCCGCGCGGAGACAGTTCACACAGTCATGCCGGGTGCAGCCTCTCGAGCTGCAGATGCCGAACAGGGCTTGCAGAAGTTCAATGAAGCCATTGCCGCCAATCGCACGTTGCGCGAGCAGCAAGCTTCTCAGAAATTGTCTCGTTTTACATTCATGGCACGTACTTATGCAGTCGTGCGCGGGATGCTGCAGCATCAAGAGCCGACACGATGATCAGCTGGCTTGGCCAACTCATGCGCATTGGCTTGCCAGTGCCGAGAGCGAAGTTTCATCACTTTCCATCTCAAGAGGTGCCCCGCCACATTCGGTGCCAAGTAAACCCAGTGCTTGGGTTTTCTGCGAATCCGGCACGAGGGAGCGAATGGTGCTCGGCAGGAATTTCAACGTGAAGGGTGGAGGTAGGCGAAAGTTATCTAAGCTAATCTATCTTTCTCAAAGCGACATCGGGACCAGCGTCTGTTCGGTGCAGCATCGTGGCAAGATGTTTGTACCCGCTTTTTGCAAGAGGAGATGTGATCCGTAGTCACGAATGTGTTGACGTGTCGGGACAGAGAGACAATTCCATACCTCGTGCGTGCGCCGGCTGGGACACGTAGTCCCGGATCCCTGACTCCTGTCGCGATGTCAACGCACCCTAGGAGAGGCAGGGGGAGCGATGTAGAAGGCGAAGGGTGCACAGTGGCTGCAACCCCTGACGCCTTAGCAGTCGGCCGATCCATTGTACAAAATAAACATTGTTCCGATAGATTATTGACGTAAAAGGCAGCACGCAAGGCAACCTACTGCTTTACTTTCGAAAGGTGTGCTCTGTTCGATGGTTTGAACGTCTCTAGACTGGCTTAGCCTCGTGTCCGAGCGATTTGTGGCACTCAAGCACCAAGTATGACGTTCAGGATTGACACGCTTCGAAGGGAACGTGTAGCACGGGGCCAAGTCCGATTGAATGCTTGCACTTGCTGCTGGTTGTAGGTGCTGGTCCGCCAAGGACATTCGGTCGTTCCTATGCTTGAGCATTTGCCAGGTCTTCGACGACATCTACCGAAAGTTAGAGAATGAGTTGTTGCTTCCTCAGGTCAGCTCAAAGCCAAACATATCCATTCCAAAGTATGTTTGTCAAGAATCTCCTGTTGGGAGTAAGGCAACAGAAAAAGAAGGAAATGGCAAACATCATTGAGCAGGCTGTGAGCCTAAGCATGTAAGAAACCACTTCCAGCAAGCGTTGCTTCGTGCGTGGAGGCCAACGCCGCCTATGAAGCTCGAGACTCTGCCCAGGCGCAGATGGCAAGGAACCCAGGTTCATCCACGAGATGGTAAGTGTCAAGCGCGCGCATCCTGATCATTAAGGCATCCCTGAAGCAACAGGCAGACAAGGAGCATGCCGAGTTCGAGAAGGAAACGGCAAGCTTGTCGCTTGAACGACACAGCCTACCTCTGATTGCAATCTTAGCCCTCCCGTCTGATTTTTGACACAGGAGTGGCGAGAGCTAGGTCGCCTCATCGAGAACGATAAGAGTGGCTTCCCTGCAAGCAGCTTGAAATTTCATCGCCACAACCCGACCGTTAACAATTTGAACTTGCCTGCGGCATCCTGCGACCACAGAACGGGCTGACATCCAAGGAATGAAAGAGTTTATGCGCACGAAGGCACTGGCTGCCCATCACAATGAAGTTCATGCCGTGACTACGTAGTTTGTTGTTGTTTTGGGGTGCTACCGGGACAGCCGCAGACATGCTACTGTCACGATCAACAGACTCTTGTGAGCCTATGAAGTCCTTTCAGTATCGACGATGACTTGGTGCTCCCATTTCGCATTATCAGGGGAACTCCTAAGCCCAGAATGCTCAAAGTAGAGAGCACGCATGCAGGAAGTGTGCATTGTTAAACCCTGGTGTTCTCGACAGCAAGTGATGCTGGACTTGGCTGCCCCAAGTGCTTTTGCAGGTGCGCGGGAATCAAGAGGGTCGCACCCCTAGATTGCAGCTTCTTATCCAACTCCTTGGCTGTGGAGAGTTCTGGATTTTCAGGCGAGAGCAAGGATGAGGACAAGCACAAAAAGAAGATCACAAAGTCTGCACCTGATCATTCTTTGCAAGTGAACATTGTGCCGCAACGTGTGCAATGAGATGTCTGAAATTGTGCTAAATGGATCTAACTGGAAGATCAGAAGACTCCCCGGGATTTCTTGCGTAGGGCAGCTTCCCGACGCTCGTGCTTGCTATTACTCCTCATTTCCAGTTGCAGCGCTTGTAAAAAGGGTAATGACAGGTAATGCTGATGTTTGTGTTCGTGTGCTTTGTTTCCATTTTCGATCATGCTTGACATTTGCAGGGGTGCATGTCTTTTTGTATGTGTGTATGTATGTTCGGAAAGTTTTCTGCCAATCTGAATTCATGCCTGAATGAGTTGTAAAATGGTAGGATGGGATGAAGGGACCGTCTTTCGTTCGACATTTCGACAGTGCAGCCGTTGATCTGAGATATCCGTGGCCATCTTGCAAGGAACAATCGCTCCATCACAGTCGATCAGGACAGTGATCGAGGATGCCGCATTCATCATGATTTCCTCACGGAGCCGTCGCTTGATTTTGGCCACCCATTCACGGTGGACGTCCCGATCGACTCCGACTTGGCGGACGTCCTGAGCAGATCGCTGCCCGCCCAACCGAGGAGTCAGCTTCGATCGAAAAAGAAGCGTTCTGGAAACAGATCGTTCCCGATCTGATCGCTCGCCAACCGATCATGGGGCATTGATCTATTCACCAGCATGCAGGCGAACGATCGAGCCGTCAGATCATCTTCTTCATGGCTCACTTACTTTCTCAACCGTTTGCGCAAGAAAATGCAACAACCCTGCAGAACATCTTTGATGTCCTCAGTGCTAGGGCACGACGGCAAATCAGGCGGGCTGGAACTGGAACCGGTCCGGACACTATCGGCGCAAACTAGACTCAGCTTCAGGACCAACTCCCCAAAGAGGCCGACCAACTCACATGCAGCTTCCTTCGCCGCCATCGCGGCACCATGCAGATTTGCATTTGCCAGGAAACCAACGCGACATGAGCGCCGAGGATAGCTTCGCGCAGAATTGCACGAGAGCCTCGAGAACGGAACTCAGAAGTTCTCCGGGGGATCATACGGCTTGGAGCTGGGCGTGAGAGATCCGATCATGAGCCCGGTTGTGTCATCTGACGAGAGCAAAGGGCCTGAGAGTGCAGGGAAAAGGCGCTGGGGGCTTATACAGTAGTCGTTCGGTCAGCTCCCGTGTAAGCTCATGCTTCTGCACAGACAAGCTTCTATCGGGACACGAAAGATGGAACAGTGTCGCTTCTAACGGGATCAATGCGAAGCTGGCCAATCAGAAGTTGAAGCTCGCGTCCACTGCTTCGAGTGCGGCCACTGTCTACAATCGGCGATCGACAGACCTTCTGAGCTGCTTCAGCTGCTTTCAACATAAACTGTGCTGATTGAGCTCTGGGTTCCTCCTTAAGATCAAGAAGGCCGGGAGCTTTGATTACGTGTCGCGGACGCTGATGTTGGGTGCATCCCAGCATCCCAGCCCTGAAATGGCACTGGCCTGGCGATGGTGCTGCCTCATTCCATTGTAGCTGTCGAAGTCGTTGATGTTGCGTGGCACAAGTCGGAGGAAGGCTGTCGTCACAAGGCCTACAGTAATTGAGAAGAAATCAGTGATCAGATCCGTCCCCCCACCCCTAGAAGGAGGCGGTCGGAGCAACCGCCTTGTGTGTAGAAGTGGCTCTGATCCGTTTCTTGTTGCGTGGCCATGTCCCAAGTTGCGCCCGCAGCAGAACATGTGCGATCGTGCAGGCCACTGAGCGAGTGTTCGAGCGTTGTTGAACAATGGGGACTGGTTCCTGAAGTAACAGCTGGATAGAAACCGAAACGACCATACACAGAAAATATGAACAGAAAGAATGCCCAGTCACTGACATGTTCTCTGAGACCTCGATCGCCCATGTAATGCCGGTCATCATGTTTCTTGGAATCCAAACTCTGTGGGTTATACTGTAGGCTAGAGGGCGAATCCGAAATAACATGTTTCGCACGGGGCCAGCAATATTTGTGAGCTTTGTACATCCTGTTGCAATTCTGGCGATCATCCCTGCCGTATCATGGTTATCCAGTCCGGTAGAAGCCCTGCGAATCTGCACTCTGTAGGTGCCCTTGTTTGAACCTGTCTCCGTAGAAGGTGAAAGCCGTGCATGTTTTCAACACGAGGGTGCGAGTGTTTGGCAGGTTGCATTGTCCAGGCCCGTATCATTTTCTGCAGTTGTTCTTTGGTCTCTCGGCTGTCTGCCTTCCTGTCCTCGCATTCTCGTCTCCGCTTGTCATAAGGCACACCTGGGACACTACAAAGTCCCTGGTCACGATGACCTCCAATCAGGACAAGGCCGGACACTTTTGCATTCCTGGAGTCTTAGCACCCTTAGCAACTCTTGCAATGACAATTCATGACAAGTCTCCGAGTTGGTCCCTTCATGTGTGCGAGGTTGCCAGTTACGAGGAAGCTTTCGCACGCATCCAGGTGTCGTTGTTTGCAAGCTTTGCTTGATGCGTGCCCGCATGATTGCATCTTTGTGTAACCCGCATGCATGTCAGAGCTGCTTGCAACTGTCGTTTTCGTTCACATGTCCAGGCGGCTACTGGAATCTGTGACATTGACCAGCTGGTGCAGAACTTCATCGATGCCGAGGTGATTTTCTCGGGCATCCATCAAGGTACTTAAAGACATAACACATTGGACTTAGCCAGGACACGAACTTTTCCCTCTTCAAGTACAACAACGAGCTCAGCGCAGAGATCGAAAAGCTCGAACAGCAGATCGCCGAGTACAAGGAAGAGTGCCTCGACCCGGTTTTCTGTGCTGGGCCTGCATCTCCACAACTGCCTCGCTGCTGCCTCGTGCAGGTACATTACTCTCAGTGGCCAGAGCAGCCGCAAGGAAGACACTGAGAAGGCCCGAAATTCGTGGGACATTCCATGTCAGTATGTCAGGTCGGTTCGGGGGTGTGCTGACGCACGCATACCAGCACCAGGTTGCATCCGCAGCGGCTCGTTTGATCCACATTAGCGGTCAGGTTTCCTTTAGATGAAGATGGCATGCCAGTGAACAAAGTACGAAGAACATCAAAGAAGCCAGCTTTCACATCGGCGGCCGTGGAGCCTTCAGCAGAAGGACCGATGCCCCTGCCAGAGATGGACTGGGAGTTAAGAACTCCGCGGCGCTCAGGGACTCAAAGCCAGCCCTGGCAGTCGCCTTTGGAGATGACGAGCCGCAGTCCTGCGACGCCGTGCACCCCCAGAAAGCCAATTTGGCTTCAGCGCTGCGAGGAGATTTGTTTTTGTTGGGGTGCAGGAGATGCTAGATCTGCATAAGATTATACTTCGCCAGCGTGGCTGTTGAGGACGCATGCAGGAGAAGCTGCTTCCCATCCAGTTTCGTTATTGACCCTTCGGCCAAGCGAGAGGACCGCCTAGTTATTGACACCAAGGGTGGCGAGGTGCTGTGGGCCGTGTTCGATGGACACCGCTATCCCGAGGTTGCCGGTCACGCTTCTCGCGTGCTGGCTCAGCTCGTCTGGGATCAGCCAACTTGGCCCTCGAAGCCAGAATTGGCCCTTTCTCATGCCCTGCAGCAGTGCAATGAACTGGCCAGGCAGGAGAAGCTCTGTGGAGGAAGCACAGCAGTGGTTGTTGCCACCTGCAATGGAGCATTGTGGTGCGCATGTGCTGGAGATTCACGTGCAGTTGTGGGCCTCAAGAAAGGTGGAACCCAACGTCTGAGCACAGATCACACGTGCGCCCTGCCGGGAGAGGTGGAGCGGGTGAAGATGTGTGGAGGAAGCATCGCACTGGGACGTTTGGGCGGAGTTTTGCCCATGACGAGGGGGCTTGGGAATTTCGACTTGGAGGCTGAAGGCTTCGCCTGCCTGCCCCAGATCAGCTCTGTGGCACTTTCAGAGGTAGAATTTGTGGTCGTGGCTTCGGATGGCCTCTGGGATGCGCCAGCTCAGTTGCTGGAAGTTGCAAGCACGCCTGTCACGCGGGGTCAGTGTCAAGCAGGGCTTGTGGCTGAGACAGAAAACCATGCCAAGGTGCTCTCTGACGCAGAGTGCTGCGGTCTAGCTCGCAGCTCAGTTCCTGAGACCGATAGGCCCTGTAAAGGCTGAGAATCTGTGAAGTTCTAGCAATGAGCAATGAGGTGCGGAGCTTCTCTTGGACCAATGTCGCAGCCGAGCTGGCTTCTGTTGCTAGAAGTCGTGGCAGCAATGATGATATTGCTGTCGTCGCTCCTTGGCTGACATCGGCCATAATGCAGCCTCGCAGACCTATGCGCAAGTCTAACTTGCTCGACAGCGGCTTCCGCTCTCTGTACCGCTGCTTTTTGTTGCTGAGTTTGCAGGGTCTCGGCCAAGGTCCGTAACCAGGCCCGGGCCCCGCAGCCCGTAGACCCGCAAGAGGCCCGCACGGGCCCGTAGGGCCCGTAGAGCCCGTAGAGCCCGTA